ACTTTTTAATTTTATTTTCGTTCTTATTTTTATGATTTTATTTTAAAATTATTTTTATTTTTCTAATTTTCATTTTAATTTTATTTTATTTTAATTAAGAATCTGCAATAGAGGTGTTCCTAAGTAGGTTAGGTACTGCTGCTGATGTCCCTTCTAGGATGATAGGAGCTCTTTTTGAAGCTGCACTCACAGATGGGAGCACACACGCTCAGCCCTGGCTGGGCTCTCAGCTTGTGAACCTGCTGCAGGTCGCTAGTTTAATCAGCTGAGCACTAAAGGAGAGGAGGATTTTTCTCACCCCAAGGTATATAATATGTTATGGCCATTTCAGTGTGTGTGTCCATGTACATGTTCTGGCAGCTTTGGTCATTTTCTAGAGAAAGTCATTTAAACCCCGTTTGTTTTTCTTTCTTTTCTTTTTTTCCACTGCCCCATGGTTTCCTAGTGTAAAGCTTTTATTTTCCTTGCCAGAATTGCCTGCACAAAGCTATAGGTGAAGGCACCTAAAGCTTCTCGTGGCCAAGAAGGCCAACGGCATCCTGGGGTGGGTTAGAAGGGGAGGAGCTGGTAGGTCAGAGAGGTTCTCCTGCCCCTCTGCTCTGCCCTGGGGAGGCCACATCTGGAATCTTGTGTCCAGTTCTGGGCCCTCAGCTCCAGAGGGACAGGGAACTGCTGGAGAGAGTCCAGCGCAGCCCCAGGGATGATGGAGGGATGGAACATCTCCCTGGGGAGGAAAGGCTGAAGGAGCTGGGGCTCTGCAGCTGGAGAAGAGGAGCCTGAGGGGTGACCTCATAAATGTTTGTAAATATGTCGAGGGGGAGCATCAGGAGGACAGAGCCAGGCTCTATTCAACAGTGTCCAATGACAGGACAAGGGGCAGTGGGTTCAAGCTGGAGCACAGGAGGTTCCACAAAAACATTAGAAAAAACTTTTTCCTTGTGTGAGTGCCAGAGCCCTGGCCCAGGCTGCCCAGGGAGGTTGTGGAGTCTCCTTCTCGGGAGACGTTCAAACCCCTCCGGACGTGTTCCTGTGTGACCTGCTGTAGGTGATCCTGCTCTGGCAGAGGGGCTGGACTAGTTGATCTCTAGAGGTCCCTCCCAGCCCCTGACATTCTGTGATTCTACAGCTTCTGGATGTGGTGATGGAAAGCTCTGCTCCAGTGGGGAGAGGTGGGTGAACGGGGCAGGGGCTGGCACTGCTCTGCCGGGGTCATGGTCAGTAACCGCGCTGTTGTTTCACTCTCAGCACGTGTTTAAGCTGGAACAAGAAGAATACATGAAGGAGGGAATCCCTTGGACTCTGATAGACTTCTATGACAATCAGCCATGCATAGACCTCATAGAGGCGAAACTTGGTATCTTGGACCTACTGGATGAAGAATGCAAGGTAAAGACGACCACCCACCTTTTCGCTGATATTTTTATAGAAGGTTGAAGAGTGGGCTTCACTTGTGGTTAGCCAACCATGCCACATCCAGAGCCTCCTCGGCAGATGTTTGCTGCCAACCTGCTGTCACCATGTGTTTCCAGAGCTCGTATTTTTGGCCTCACTGTACTTGGCTGAGGGACATGGTTTAGTGGTGTTGATAGGGCTAGGATGAAGGTTGGACTCCACGATCTTGAAAGTCTCTTCCAACTGAAACTGTTCTATGGGAGTAGCCGCTGCTTGTGGTTTTTGATGGCTTTGATGTTGTCCAGGAGCTGGAGTTCTTCCCTCTCTCTAGGGAAACCTGAGTCCTCTTGCAATTGCGGTTTGGTATAAAGTTGATTGCATTTAGAGCACAGACTTTGATTGTAATGCTGGGAGAGTAGTTTGCTACCTTGTACCCCCTATGTCTCATACCAGCCTAGATTAAACCTTGCTTGAAAGTTGATAAAAAAGGCTAGAACTGCAAACCTTTGTGAAAATCCGTAAGAAAGCCTGGACACCTTGTTTAGAATTGAACTATGTCAGATGTGTGTAGAAACAGGAAATGTAAGATAGGAGGTTTTCTTGGGAAGTTGGAATGTTTGTTTTGAAGGTCTTTGGTGTGGAGAGTCTTCAGGTATGGTCGTCTCAACAGGAGAGCTCAGCTTCATGCCCTGGTGAAAAGGACAGAGCAGCTCATGTCTCTTCAAGTTCTGGTGTCTGCACAGCAATGATGTTGAGGAAGCACTGGAGAGTATAAAACACCGTGATCCTGGTGACAAAGAAACCTGAGTGGTCGCGATAGTCAGTGGGAGGGCTGTCAGCCCCTTTGACACACAAAAATCCCCATAGGTAGAAGTTGGACAGATTCAACCATGAAATGAGCCATTTTACTGCTGAGAACAGCCTGTTGGAAGGGAACGGTGGCCGC